ACCGTTTGGGCCTGGCGGCGCTCTTGAGGCTGCCGCCCGCCGGTTGGGGCTGAACCGTCCATCTGGACGGTTCAGGGCACAGCCAGGCCTCGCAGCAGTGAGGCCGGCCTCTGCCCACCGGTATAAAGAACCGGTCCGGCCTCACTCAGGGGATCGACCCACCAGTATACTACGGTGCGGTAAGGTCGGCACCAGAGTGCCGTTGGAGCGCTATGTTTAGCGCAGGAGCGAGGAGCAGGCAGCGCAGCAATTAGCGCAGCAGCAGCGAGCGCAGCAGCAGCGAGCGGAGCAGCAGCAGCGGCGACTGGGTTACCGGCGGCGAGGTACCGGGAGTTGGAGGTTTCTCTCCTCCCTCCCATCGCCAGTCCCCTCTCTCTCCCTCTCCTCCTCGGCTCCCTCCTTCTTCTTCTTCTTCTTCTTCTTCTTCAGATTGGATACTTATACTAGTTGGACAGAGATCAGAGTTGGATTTCGGTGATATGAGACTGTGGTACTTACCTGATTGGAGGCTTGGAGATTGTTGGGGTTGATACTCGGCTGCATCACAGTTCGGACACCGGTTACATTTGGACTCTGTACCTCCGACATTGGTGACCTATTGTCCTCGACACTTTGATCTTGTTGGATGACGTTTTGGACTACCATATCGGTGACCTATCAGATCCTATCTCGGTGACTTTCAGTGCTGTCCTACCTGCCCCACCTCCTTCGTCTCTCCTCCCCCATTCATCTGTGTATGTTGTGTACGGGGCTGAGCACCTTCTTTGTATGGCTCAGACCCCACCATCTCACGATTGAATGTGTGTGGAGTGATGCTATGTGAGTCAGTCTATGTGAGTCAGTCCGTTTATCAGACTTCCGTTGCATCTATACTCATCCTACATTGGTTGATTCTTGGTTCTGCCCATACTCATTAGAGTATGTAACAACACATGTCCAAACTGTCCCGATGACTGCATGAATGTGTGCTCTGAATACATTCACTTGCTAAACAGACCTCTACAGGGAAAGGGGTGACTTCGACAGACTGTTTGATCAGACTTTCAATGGCCTGTGCTGCTGGCCAGGTCTGTATCTTCCCAGCCATTGATAATGAGGGCAAATTCACAGAGAGTTTAACCAAAAGCTGCAGAATGTGGTCTGCGAATGCGCACTGTGAAGGTAACAGTTCTTTTGCCCATCCTGCCTGCCAATGCAACCTACGAGGGTGGCAGTTCTGCATTCTTCTCCTCTGCATCCTTCATTTTAGGTATCCTCTGTAATCCCTCGTACTATAAGAGCGGTTCGTCGCGCATCAGCTGTACGCACTTAGGCTTGCGCTTGAGCTGCAGTATCAGTGTAGTAGTTGGCGATGGATCCTCTACTAATCATTTGTGCTACAGTAGCGGTTCATCAGGCATCTCCTGGGAGCTGAGGTATCCGTGCATGGGCAAGGGTGGCATTTCTTCTGCATTCTGCATTTCAATGGGGAATGTCGCTCCTGGGGAGATCTATTGGTGAGGGGAACCAAGAGATGAAATGTGAAGTAACAAATACTGAGATTATCAAGATGGGGGTGCAAAGAACGAGCCCTCACATAGGCCGCTCAGTTGCGGCCACCACATGCCCAAGGGGCCCCTAGCAAGCAAGGTGCCCACCCTAAGTGAAGGTGGGCCTGATTTTTACACGGGGCCCCATTTTTGCCATTTCTGCAATGTGGGGCGCCAGACAGTTACCACGCGCCAGTTGGTTACAGGGCCATGCCTGTGTGAGCACAACATGCGGAGCCTCTGGGCTCACTCCAGAGGCAAGGTGGCCAGAGGCTCTCGGCCAATGAAAGCCCAGGGAGCGACGTGGCTGGGCTTCTGTAGGCCAATGAGAATGCAGCGTGCGACAGCAGCTACGTCGCACAGTTGGGCAGCCTCGATGCTGCGGGCCCAGGCAACTGTCTGCATGGGCCTAGCCGCAGACACTTTGGCCATGTGAAGCTACTGGGCACAAACACGCCAGGCCCAACCCAGCCAGTGGCAGGGCTCACTTTCCATAAAGGGAAGCCCAGCCAGGACAGCATTCTGGCCTAGGCAGGCGATGCGGCCACGCTGCTGCTTTGTAGAGCGAGCAGGCTGCGCTAGCACTGGCTGGCCAGAGGCGCGCACAGGCACAAGAGGGAAGAGGGGCGCTGAGGTGGCAGCAGGTGCACGGCGGCCATAGCCGGGTTGCTGAGGCGCATGCTAGTGATGGTGATGGTGGTCTTCGGGTGTCGGGGATGCACACTGTGGGGAGCTGAGGAGTGATGTGAGAGGAGGAGAGGCACATACCTGGTGCATGCTGGCAGACTGCATTGGCGACGCAGTCACATACATTGGTCTTCAGTTCGAAGTGACTCCTGTTGCATATACGTAGTGGTAGGCTAGGTAGTAGCTGAGTAGGATAGGCTGGGCACTGGACGCCAATCAAGATGAGCGACATTGGATAATATGTTGGTGTGGCGAGAGAGTGCCGACATTGAGATTTGAATTCATTGAATTGCTCTTATTTGGTTGTATCTCGGTGCACTGTGCTTTCGGCTTGGTACTCTACTATCTGGACTCCAGAATGATATTGCAATTTGGTTTTCTTTCTATCACTCTCGCTCATTTTCCTTGCAGAAGCATTTCAATGGCGGAGTACGGGAAACCAGGAAAGGGAACCCATGGGTGAAGTGGTTGGGGGGTTCGTTTTTTTTTTTTTTTTTTTGAGGGAGGGGGGGAGGTAATCAGACTCGACTTCAATCTCACATTGTGCATGCATACATACAGATGTTGATGGCAGAAGAACTTTTGCACACGATGAATCAGCAATAAGTGTCAGATGGCGCAGAGCGCCCACACAGAAAACTCAGATATATGGCCCTTGCCAGAAACTCAGTATAAGTCCACTTGTTACAGCTTGCACCTATGGCATCTGATCGCCTGTCTGAAAGTCTCATTTGCGCACTGTATCCACCATCATCACACACTCTCACACTTGTGCACGCACGGGCTAACCTACAGGACAGACACTAGGACTACTAACATTCAGATCCACGGATTTCAAGTCCACGCGACCAGACTATACACAGCAAACACAAACATACGACTTTGGGACAGGTCGTGGGTTCAAATCATGCAGGGTCAACGAATACTGTACAAGGGGTAGGGTATAGGTCTAGGGATCGAGCCCTGGGATCTGCAATTGCCATGCGAACTGAGTGAAACCGTTTCAGGGGTGGTGAGGAAGGGGAGATTATGTGGAAGTCCGCAGAGATAGACGTCCAGATGCCTAGATCTTAACCAATGAAACCATGTGATAGGGACTCTTTGCTACGTCTGCCCAACACAAGTCACAATGGGCAAGTGAAGTTCGCTTGTGTAGCGTAGTTAACCAAAACATGTCTGTGGCAGGTAGCCCTTACCTGCTCCTGGAATGCATACAGGATGCCATCAATAAGCAGCTCCTCAAGACGGGCATCAATGTCCGATGTACCAAGATTAGCCACCACCTTCTCCATAGTTTCCATAACCATTCGTCGATACGGCTCGCTCTCGTCTTTCAAGTCTTCCACAACTCTTCCAATGATATCAGAAGTTCCCACCTGACACATAGCGAAGAACAGGTCAAAGTTATCATCCCTATGTCTGCCAGTGACTGCATTACAAAATTTATTGGTACTAAGAAAGTAGTTCAAGCTCCTGCCAAAATGAAACGCCGTGAAAGAATTAGGAGCAGCCTTCAATGGAACTAGAAGGCCCGTAAGTTCCAACTTCCAAGCCTAATTTACCAACCTGGTGTTCTCACGACAGGTCCATGCAGAGGCATCCCGAGCACACAACCTCATACCCTAGCCAAAAGCTTGGTAAGCAAGCAGGAGATGGGGATGACATTGAAAGAAAAGCAATCAAATATGCTACAGAGATATATTTATACATTTATTTTATACATGCAAGTGCATCTCGTGTTCTGATTTGAGGACGGTTGATGCTCAAGCACACCGTACCAGCACGGCGCACGGGGCTTTGGGCCCACTCCCCCCAAAAAAAATCAAGGGCGGGGTTCTGAAGTTACTTACCTGGCCTCCCCAGAGAAATTCGTTTTAGGGCCCACAAACAATTTTAGCGGGCCGCACTCGAGCACGGCCCGAAACAAATTCGAATTTTCCCCCCGTCTGAAGCAGCAAGAGGGAAAAAGAACGAAGGGGTTGGGGGCCATTCTGTTGTGGTGTGCTGCAGGCCCACCTTCTCACTTCGACATTGGGTAGCAGCGCCGTCCTTCGCCGCCTTCGATGTCGTCCAGAGCTGCAGCGAACTCCTTCGGCCACCATCAACGACAAGCACCATCGACGACAACCGGTGCCAACGTCCTCCAAGCCAGGTGGGTGTCCACCAGCCATGCTACCCTCCATCAAGCCGACCTCCTCCTCCCCCTCCCTTCTCATTCTCCTTCTCACCATCCTCCTTTGCCTCATTCTCCTTCACGCCCTCCTCCCCTCCTCCATCTTTCGCCGTCCTCTTCACGTCCTCCTCCCCTCATCCATCTTTCCTCCTCCTCATCGCATCCTTCTTCTCCATCTCTCCTCCTCATTCATCTTCCTCCTCGTCACGACCTCATTCAAAACTTGAAACGCCGATCACCTCCCCTCCTCTTCACGTCGTCCTCCCCCTCCTTTCTCCTCCTCCTCCTCCTCGTCACCTTCTCCACCATCTCTTCCCTTGTCACCTCCTCCTCCTCCTCTGTCTCTCGTCGTCCTACTCACCATCTCTTGTCGTCCTCATCGTCACAGCCTCGTCACCTTTTTCTTTTTTTTGTCTTTTTCAAAGTTCTTTTGAAATATGAAATGGCAGGGTCCTTGTCCTCCTCCCTTGCCGTCGTCACAGCCTCTTCCATCTCTTCTCCTACTCGTCACGTCTTCCTCCTACTACTACTCGTCACCTCCTCCTCCATCTCTCCGCCTCGTAACCTCGCTCTCCTCCTCCTCCTCACCGCCTCATCATCTTCTTTTTCTTTTTTAACGGAAGCTTTGGAATTCAAAGTTCGAACTCCATCCATATCATCTACTCATCGTCACCTCCTCCTCCTCCTCCTCCTCCTCCTCCTCTCTTCGTCACCTCCCCCTCCATGTCTCCTCCTCGTGACCTCCTCCCCCACTTATGTCTCCTCCTCATGACCCCCTTCCCCTCCTCTGTCTGTCGTCCTTGTCACACCTCGTCATCTCTTCTTGTTTCATTTTCATTTTTAGGGGAAACTTGGAAGTGGGAACAGTGCCGGTATCTCCTGCCCCTCCATGTCCTCCTCCCCCTCCTCCTGGTCACCTCCTGCCCCTCCTCCACCTCTCGTCCTCCTTGTCATGCCACTTTCTTTTTCTGCCGAAAGTTTGAATGCTGATCTTATTTTTGAGCAGAAAGTTGGTAGTTGGAAAGCTGATGTTGTCTTTTTCTCACCTCCTCGTCATGTCCTCATCACCTCCAACTATCCTCCTCCATCGCTCCTTCCCCTCCATCTCCTCGTCCTTGTCACGCACACCTCCTTCTCCTCCTCCTCTCCTCCTCACCTCTCCCTCCATGTCTCCTCCTTGTGATCTCCTCCCCCTCTATGTCTCCTCCTTGTCACCTCCTTCCCCTACTCCGTCCGTCTGTGCTTTGCCACACCTCGTCACCTCTTTTTTTTTTTTTTTCAGCGGAAACTTGGAAGTTGGAACACTGTTGATATCTCCTCCCCCTCCATCTCCTCTTTCCCCCTTGCCTCGCTGTGGTCCTCTTCATCCTCCCTTCTCCTCATCCTACACCTACTCCTTGTCACCTCATCCTCATCCCTAAACTCTCCTCCTTGTAACGCCTTGTCACGTCTTTTTTTCCCAATGGAAAGTTCAAATGCCAATCTTTTTCTTACACAGAAATTTTGAAGTTGGAAGGCTGGCATTGTCTTCTTCTCACCTCCTCGTCATGTCCTCCATCTCTCGTCCTCGTCACCTTGGAAGTTGGAACACTGTCGATATCTCCTCCCCCTCCATCTCCGCTTTCCCCCTTGCCTCGTTGTGGTCCTCTTCATCCTCCCTTCTCCTCCTCATCCTACACCTACTCCTTGTCACCTCATCCCCAAGCTCTCCTCCTTGTAACGCCTTGTCACGTCTTTTTTTCCCAATGGAAAGTTCAAATGCCAATCTTTTTCTTCAACAGAAATTTTGAAGTTGGCAGTGTTGGGAGGGTCCAGGGGGGCAGGAGGGGTGGATAGGTGGTGTTCTCCAGAGAGGATGTTGGATGAGGCTGATTTTCTGGCTTGTTCGACGGTTGATCTGCAAGTACTGCGGGGCGGGTATCATTCCCGCCTCAAAGTGCTTTTGAAATTAGTAAAATAAAATAAAATAAAAACAATTCCGCACAAGACCGGACGGGGGGTCAGACCTCTCCGCACAGTTCGCGCGCAAAACCGCACCAGAAGGAAGATGGCTCTACTGGACAGCGCACGGCACGGTGCAGTCCTGTATGGTACAGGTACGGGCCTGTAGGCCAGACGGGAAGGTCCCCAACCGGACTCCGTACAATGCACCGAACAGTGCGGTGCACAGTACGGTTTCAATTTACTTATTTACCTATTTAATTAATTCTAATATTGATTTATTTCTTATTTATTTATTTACTTTTACATCGAGGGGGCGTGCCCTTCATCTGATCGGGGTAAGAGCCCTACAAAACATAGCCAGCGAAGAGGTTCAAACACAAATTACAAAATTGTCAAATTGAGTCCAAACATAGACGCCATCGAGGGGGGGTGCCCTTCATCTGATCGGGGTAAGAGCCCTACAGAACATAGCCAGCGAAGAGGTTCAAACACAAATTACAAAATCGAGTCCAAACATAGCCGACACTCAGGTACAAGGGTGACCATCATGTTTCCACATTATATACAATGCCGGCATGTGTGATGGACCATTGCCATCCTTATTAGACTGCTTTCTTCACTGACTGAAGGGGGCCGAAGGAAGACGAAGACAGAATAAGTAAGAAAGGGCAAAGCCGGTCAAAGACAATGATCCTCCCCATGGTTGCGCAGTCAAGGGGAGGGCCATTGGTCTCTGTGCATGCATGTGGTTCTAGACACAGACTAATGCATGGAAATGGATGAAACCCAGATAGGAAGGCAGGCAGGCACTGTTTGCTATGTACCTTGTTTGCAATCTCCACTGTGGTATCAACAAGCTGGCGGTAATTCCTCCTGTCCAGCGCCATCCTTCGGACCCAGAAGTTCCGGAAGAAGTCCGGTAGAATCTCCTCCCTAATGTAGTCTGCTTCCACACCATCCGTGCTGACACACTGCTTGACCACCTTCAACACAATCTTCTTCATTTCCTCATCAGGAGACTGGAACTCCCGAATCAATATAACCATCACCTCTGAAAGAAATACACAAGCACAAGAACAAAATCGCAACATAATCACCCCGATCAGAGACAATTGCAAGGCACCACTGATTCCCCCCAACAACCACAGTGACAAGCACAGAAATCACAACAACCATTTCCATAACAAAGGACACAGCAAGTCCTGTCCTCATAGACCATGTGATGATTGCCACCATGGTATATGTCCTTCCATGCAAACACCATCCTCCTCGTCCCCCCCTCACCCTCTTAATCACCTTCGTCATCGTCACCGTCATCGACATCACATACTGGCAATCAATACACAATCAACACTGTATAGCATAAATCAGTCCTTTCCAAGCACAACACCACCGCCATCAATATCACATACTGGCCCTCGTAGACAATCTGAGATGTACAGCACCAGAGTCACATTCCCCCGTTAATCAGTCGTTTCCAAGCACACCACCAGAGTCACAGTTCACAACCACAACCGGGAGTCCTCACTAAAACGCTTGCACTTCACCAGAGCACATCAGCATGGCCAGGGTCTAAAGGGATGACCACACTGAACTGGCAAAATAATGTCAACGGGCAACTTCAGCTAACGTCTTCACCCGGATAGAAGGCCCGGTTATTATAGCGGAATTTGGTGCAACTTCCAGCCTAGATACACGGGTAATGACCGGGTGGTTCTACTTGGGTAAAGACCGTAGGCCAGATGGAAATCAGAAACAAATAACTTCACCCATGATGGAAATCAGGGTCTAACAGAGCTCTGCCCCCCCCCCCGCCCCTCCACCCCATTAAACACCAAGCACACTTCTCCCACCAATTGAAAGATTGTTACTTCGACAACCAGACGTTTCGTTGGTCTCAACACTTACCCCTGGTATAGTAGCTTGCATACATCGCGTCCATGAGGGGAATGATGAACCCAATGGCTTTGAGAAAAGCTGCCAGCACTTTTCCTCTGTGTGTCCGTATGCCCTTCCAGAGAGGCTTCAGCACAGAATCAAAACTCTCAATACCATAAGGCGCAGAGGCCTCAGCCAGTGCAGCAAGCGCCAATGCAGTAATAGTCCGCACCTGCACACCATGAAGAGAACAAGATCAGCAAACCTTCAAGAGCCGTCGACACGGACAGTACCATCTTCACCCAAACGGAATGCCCGGTGATTATCGCTGTGTCTAGAACCAAATACAGCTATAGTGACCGGGTGGTCTATTCGGGTGAAGACGGTAGTCACATATCACATCCAAACCATTCGTAGGATCATCATCGTGGGGACGATGGCAAACAAAACACAGCTCAAGGCGCTCATTGGCAAACCACAGTCTCCTCGACGGCAAGTGCAGGAATCGTCCGCACAATGCAGATAGATTACGAGTGCATTCGCTGGGAGTTGTAGTTGAAGAGGCTACGCATTGACCAATCATCCAAGCCTGAATGTGAGCCCATCCAGTTGCGCACACATCACACAGCGATTCACCAACAGGTCAGAGTCGAGCAAATATTCTGCGGCATCTTTTCGGAGACGCTTGCTGACTAACAGCTCTTCTTTGCTAGATGTACACCATGCCCGAGGTTTTCTGATTGAACTACCCCATCCGCCTGAAGAACGCACTTGACCTTGTACTATCCTTCCGGCATCAAACACTGCTGTTTTCTCCCATACCAGGAGCTGTAATTCAGTAATAAAGCCTACAGGCCGCTGTGATGCAGAACCCCGTTCGACAGCTACAACTTAAGATTTGGGGGAGAGGTGAAGCGAGGGGGCCGGGGAACATCTGAAGAAAGGATCAAAAGAAAAGACCAGGAATATGGAATGCAGTGAGACCTGATGAGGGATCTGAACACCTGAAGAACGGACTAAAAGAGGAGACCAAGAATATGGAATGCAGTGTGGTCTGCCATGAGGGGTCCACTTGATGGCACTGCAACATGTTACAACAAAGGGCAAGATGTAACTCGTTAGAGAAGGGGGGACCGCGGTGGGGGGATGAGTAGGGTTTTCCGTACAAGGGTTGATTGTACTTGATACCCACTATCTTCTGAGGGGGCAGTAATATAAACGTGGGAGGTGGCAGAAGGGTTCCAGAGGGGGCAGTAATATAAACGTGGGAGGTGGCAGAAGAATGTAGAACGATTTTCTTTACAGGGCTGATATCTACTATCTGCTTAAGAAGGGGTTCCAGAGGGGGTGGTCATATGAGCATGGAATATGGCGGGAGAATACGTCATACGAAATGTGAAGGGCAGGGGGGAAGCTGCAATGTGAGGGGGAAGGTGTGGGAGGCCCAATGTCATTCAAACAACTGGGTGATCTTGTGCTTTTGTGCAAGGGTGACAATGAGATGAAAAAAGTTGAACAGTAAAGAAGTAGAGCACACAATGACAATGGAGCTGCAGCTGTGGCAATGGAAGCTGGGGCACAGCAGTGCCTGATGGCAGGACAGCGGTGCCACCAGAGGTTACATTGAGCAGCACTACTTCCTCGGGCTTGGATTGAGCTTCAGTTCTCACTAACATACAATGTGCTTCTGCATGGTACATGGAAATGCAGCGCCTTGGCAGCCTGGGCATCCAATCACGGTAAAGCACTTGAGGGCAGCAAGCATGTCATTCCAAACCCTCTCCACGTGAGACAGCACTACTTCCTTGGGCTTGGATTGAGCTTCGGTTCTCACTAACATACAATGTGCTTCTGCATGGTACATGGAAATGCAGCGCCGATGGCCGCCTGGGCACCAATCACGGTAAAGCACTTGAGGGCAGCAAGCGCGTCATTCCAAAGGCTCTCCACGTGAAACAAACACTGACACAAACATTCTCCTCAATCCAACAGGCAGCAACGATCAACACAGATTGACACAAACATTCTCCTCAACCCAACAGGCAGCAGACATCAACCCGCATCGACACAAACATTCTCAAATTTCTCATCGATCCAACAGGCAGTAGACTTCGCACATTGAACATAGTGCAGGCTGAGGGTTGTGACAACCACTAGCATGAACTGAGTAACAAAGAGGCGTTTTTTATCGTAAGCATTCAAGGTAGGTATGATCGCGTATGAAATGCTATCTACCCGTCATGACGTGAAAAGCTCAGAAAGACTCGACATCAAGACAGTACTCAAACACCCACCAGCATCACCTGCACTGACAGGATGACAAGTGAGTTACAAACAGGCCTCGTGTTATCGTAGGAGCCCAAGCTATAGAGGCATAGTTGAGTATGAAATGCCTACCATATTTCCCCAAAGAGAACATACGTATGTACCTACCCATCCTATCATGCAAGATATCAGAAAGGACTCAAATTTGAGAGAATACTCACAGACCCATCAATGTAAAATCACCAGCCAGAACCGGTCTGGCCCTAGCACCTCTGCTTCTACTATGCAGAGAGCAACTTACAGAATACAGCAGACATCTTCTTGGACAGGAATCAAAATATGCAGGTGAAAGATATGGGTTGATGGGAAACAAATGACCATGCAGGTGACAGATATATAGGTTGATGGGAAACAAATGACCAACACACCTTCTGGTTTTCGTCACTTAGTCCGTGCTCCATGATTTCGACAAGCGACTTCAGATGCGGAAGCACGGCGCAGCCCATAAGTATGGCAATCTGCTGGCAAATCTTGATACCTGTGTGTCTGGCCTGCCAGGACTTTTTGCTTTGACAAACTGCCTTAAGGAATGGCAAGAGTGCAGGAATACCCAGAGCTGACGCAACCACAGAAAATGCACGTGCAGTGGTGTTCCGCACATACTCGTCGATATTGTCAATATCCGGCCTCATTGCAGCAATCATCGTTGCCAACCCAGCCGCCTGCCACATGATCCAGAGATCCACAACAGAATCCCAGCATGAGTTCGTCCATCCGCAGGAGCCAACCAATCACCAAACACAGCATACAACGTACCGAGCCAGGTACTATGAGTCATTGAATTGTTAATTCTACGTTCGCCATGAGCACAGGGCAAATCAGAAGTTGCATTTCTCCTCAGAGTCCAACCAGCGCCAGTTGAGTTCCATCCAAACCGCCTTCTTAGCAATAATCACTTGCGGAAAAAAACCTTACCATCATCAGTTGATTACCGTCCAAACCGCCTGCTTAGCAATAATAACTTGCAAAAAGACCTTCACATCCTGCATACCCAGCATTAGTTTGTGTCACTACGAGTCGTTGATGCACACCATCCACCCAGAAAGTGCTGCTTACGAGCGAATTGGCGATGGCGATTTCATGCCAGTGATAGAGACTGTCATTGAAACTTCCTTACTCCATAGAGGCCATATCCAGAACACCTAGACAACATTTCTCTGGCGTTCACTACCAACCAGATCCCCAATTGTGTCTGCAGGAACCTCATTTATTGTGTGGTACTTGTACAGTCCCTACACTCTCTCCTGCCCCAATGACAGCTTCAACCCCTCAAGTCTGGCATTGTCATGGTGTCACTTGCACAACATGCATTCTGGTTAGGGACACGCTTGCATCATTTCAGTCACTCCACGCCAGAGTTGCATCATTTCACACATCGATTCGTTTCTTCGGACTTTTGTTTTCTCTGTTGTTCATTCCTTCATTTTCAATGTCATGCCTTCATTACTTCGCTTTGTCCATCGCATGCATTTCTAATTTTCTATGCTTCATTTCTTTTATTCCAATCCACTGTTGCAGGCCAGTAACCAAGGACAACAGGTGCACATCCCTTCCCTTATATTATATTATATATACTATTAAAAACTGTAGAGTGCCCGACGTGACGCTTCTCAGCGGGCTCAAGGAAATTCGGTGCCGCACGAAACATCGGGTCCCAAGGAAATTCGGTGCCGCCCAAGGAAATTCGGTGCCGCGCAAAACGTCGGGCCCACGCCGCGTGCTGGTCTTCTCGCCCTAAATCGGAGGGGCGCGTCGCGTCGGGCCCAGGCGGACTCGCTGCCGCGCGCCTCGCACTTGGATGGGAGCGTTTCTTTTTTTTTTCATCCCCGCCTGTTGGGTAGTTTTTCGCATGCTACTATTCGGCCGCCGTCAGAGAGTGGGAGGAGGAGGTCGTGCCAGGGGGAGGAGGAGGTTGTGCAAGCGAGAGGAGGAGGTCGGAAGAGGGGAAGGACGGCACCGCACAAGGGGGAGGAGGTAGGAAGAGAGATTGGAGGAGGTGGCACGAGGGGGAGGATGAGGTCGCACAAGGCGGAGGTCGTGCGAGGGGAAGCGGACGTCGCGCAAGGGGGAGGAGGTCATGTGAGGTGGATGAGGAGGGGGAAGAGGACGCGTGAGGGGGAGGAGGTCGCACAAGGATTAGGAGGTCGCGCGAGGGGAGGAGAGTCGGAAGAGAGGGAGGAAGTCGCAGGAGGGGGAGGAGGAGGTCGCACAAGGGGGAGGAGGAGGTCGCACGGAGGTTGCGTTAGGGGGAGGAGGAGATCGGAAGACGGAGTGGGAGGGGGAGGAGCAGTTCGCACAAGGACAAGCAAGAAGTTGCACAAGGGGGAAGAGGAGATGGCACAAGGGAGAGGAGGAGGTCGGAAGAGGGGGAGGAGCAGGTCGCACGAAGAGGACGAGAGGTTGCAGCGGAGGTCGGAAGGGAGGTTGGAGGAGGTCGCGCGAGTGGTTTGAGGAGGCTGGACGAGTACACATGAGAGGGAGGAGGAGGTGGTGTAAGGAGGAGGAGCTGGATGAGGTCGGAAGAGAGGTGTGAGAAGGTCGCGCGAGGGGGAGGACGCGGTCCAAGGGGGAGGAGTGGATCGTGAGAGGGGTAGGAGCAGGTCGCACGCTGGGGACGAGAGGTTGCAGGAGGTCATGCGGCAGGGGAAGGAGGAGGTCGTGCTAGGGGGAGGATTTCATGCGAGCAGGAGGGGGTTCTGAGGGAGGACGAGGACGTCGTGATAGGGAGAGGAGGTTGCTCAAGGGGGCACATGCGCACACACAAGAGAGAGAGAGAGAGAGAGAGAGAGAGAGAGGACTGGCATATCTTCCTCCAAATGTCGACAAGATGCCGTTGGCCTTCTTTTGGGGGGGGGTAATTGGCCAAATACCCCCATAAGTTGGGATATATGTCAAAATGTCCCTGAAAATTGGGCGCTTTTTTTGCAATTGCACCCACCAAAAGTTGGCAACTACCGGGGCATTTTGCAAAGTTGGACGGTGTCTGGTAGGGTACACTGCAAAGATGGGGTCCAACCGATGTCTGGGGTGTTTTGCAAAATGTTTTTGCTGTCGTCCTTGACTGCAGTGTAGCTGCGGGAGGTTCACTTGTAAGATTAATACAAAGAGGTGCTTCAGTGGGTTTTTCATCATCCATGAAAAGCAGAATATTTGATAAATAATCGAGCGGCAGAAAATGAGCGAGAGGAAGAGAAGAACGCAGGCAAGAAGAAAGATGCAGGCACGAGGCAAGACGATGAGAGTAACAAGAAGGGAATGCAAAAATGAAGGAAAAGAAGGGAATAAGGGCGAAATGGAGGAGGAAGGGAGATAAAAAGACAGCAAAGAAAAGAAAACACGAACAGGAGGCTATAGATGAAAAGAGAAGATTCCAACTTGGCCGGGGAAAAAAAACAAAAAACGGTAGAGTTTCACCACCAAGTTCCGGATTGATTAGTAAGGAAAAGAAAGAAAGGAGGGAGGTGAGGAGGAATGCAGCAAAGAACGGGAGAAGAGAAGGGAAGTGGGGGAGACGAAGGAGGAAGGAGTGAAAGATGCAGAGACGAGAGATGAGGGATAAAGGAAGGAAAGGAGGAAGGAAGAAAGGAAAGCCAAGAAGGAATGAAGGAAGGAAAGGAGAGAGGGAAGAAAGGAAGCAAAACGAGGAAAGTCAGGGGAGAAAGGATGGATGGAAAGGTCATGGGTTCAATCAATCCCCCATGTGCGCCTGCAGCGTGTTTGGTGTTCATCGGCTGTAGATTGTTGGCTTGCACCCCCGGGTCGGACATGGTAGGGTCCTGGGTTCTCTCGGACGCCTTCGCCCCTGCCATTCCTCGCTGGGGGTTAGTGCCTGGGTGTAGTAGATTTCGGCTGCCTCTATTCCTGGTAGATTCCGGTTGCCCCTTACTCCAGTGCTTAGACATGGGTTGCTGTGCTTAGACATGTAGGTAGGTACCCTAAGGTATAATTGAGAGAAGAATATAGATTAATTAATTATTTAATATTTATTAAAAAAAACGGATGGAAAGGGACAAGAATGAAGGGAAGAAGGAAGAAGCAAAAAGGAGAGCCAAGAAGCAATGAAGAAAGGAGGGAGGGCAATCTCCGCATCTTTCACTCCCTCCTTTTTTGTCCTACAGTGAAGAGAGAAAGGATGGATGGAAAGGTTCAAAAGAGGGGAGGGAAGATAGGAAAGAAAGCGAGATAGGACAGAATGCACAGGAAGAAAGAACGAAGAGGGAGGACAGAACCGAGAGAATGATGGGAAGTGAAGTCAGAGGGAGGGAAGAGAAAGAAGGAATGGAAGGAAGAAAAGAAGCAAAAGGGAGGGAGGGAGAGATAGAGGGAGGGAGGGAGGAAAGATAAGGAAGGAACGGAAGGAAGAAAAAAAGGAAAAGGGACGGAGGGAGGGAGGGAGGGAGGGAAAACCGGGAGAAAATGCTAGCTGTAAGCATGTCTCATGCTAGTGGTGACTTCTAAAAGTAGTAATGCCAGGGCTTTATAGTTGTTGGTTTCGTGATTGTTCACAAATTTCTTTGAGTACGACATTCACAATTTCGGGATTCTTAAATGACTACGAAAGCCTTACCTTGCTCAGATTAGATATGATCTCCCGGCCTTCAACACGTGCATAGTAATCTTCATCGATTAGAAGGGGTTCAATCACCACAAGAATTTTGTGCACGTATGGGCGGACCAGCTCATCTAGTTTGTAGAGAATTCTGTCAATAACCTGCACAAGGCCAGCACATCACATCAAGTCAATCGACGTCTCTTGAGCTGATGGCTCATAATTTGATGCATGCCCTGTGCCTTGAACCCTTAATCCTCCCAAAAATGCATCCCAGAAAGGCTCACATCAGACCCATAGGATTGACCAGAGTTGCCTTGCCAACACAGCTTTTGTATTTCGTACCACAAGACGAACCAATTGTGAGTCAAGTCATAATTTGAGCAGTGAAGGAGGGGGCAAAGGACAGATTGGATGAGCACTGTAGCTTAGCAACAAAGACAAGTAAAAAGAAAGGAAAGGAAAGCTGTCCCGAAGGACTCTATTGATCCAAAGATTCCAATCTTCATCCATATCTCATCTCTATACTGGACGGATAAGAATGCAAGGAAACTGAAGAGAAAAGTTGGCACAAACACATTGTGCTCCCATGAACATCGATTCACTGAAATACCGAGCGTCATGATTCTTTCTTTCTTCTTTCTTTCTTTCTTTCTTTCCTTCTTTCTTTCTTTCTTTCTTTCTTTCTTTTTTCTTTTTTTTTACGGGCGCCGTGATTCTGCAGAGGCCAATTTTTGTTTACCTTTATCTTGCACAGTGGTCAATTCGATCTTCATCACCTTCACCTTCTTTTTCCGTATGTTAATCTTTATCTTAGTCTATAGACTCTATACCTTCATCTTCATCTTTATATCTTCTTTATCTGTCTATCTATCCAGCTATCTGGCTCACACCCATATTTCCCCCCTTCCGTCACATGCCTTTTTTTTTTCTCCTCTGACGTGTGATGGTCTGCCTGCCAGCACCTTTTTCTCTTCTCCGCCTCTCCCCGTCTGTGTCCTACGCCCCTCGTTTTCTTACCCAACTTCCCTGCGGGATGGCCTCCATCAAAATCTATCCACTTGTCCAACACGAAGTTTACGTCCCCAGAACCCTGACACCAAACTTCCGCATGCTCTTTGCCTCACCATCGGTCCATGACATCATAGACAAGCGAAAGCCTGTGGAATCTGTGTCAAAGAAAAGATGGAACCTTGGCAGGACCACAGTACCTCTCTCTCTCTCTCTCTCTCTCTCTCTCTCTCTCTCTCTCTCTGTGTGTGTGTGTGTGTGTGTGTGTGTGTGTGTGTGTGTGTGTGTGTGTGTGTGTGTTTTAGATTTTCCCCACAACAGCCCCAATTCCACCCAGGTGATAGATTCAGAATCAAAGCAGTCTTTATCCTATTCCAGACAACGAGAGCATTTGAGATGTCCAACATATTAAAGCAATTTTATAATTAGACAGTTTTTTGGTTGTTCTTCGGGTACCCCTTTCATTCTTCTTGCAGCTCCCCTTTTACTGTGCCTCTTACGCGCAAGGCTGCCCACGTTGATTGTGGTTGAGCGGCAGCTGCCCACGTCCCCGTGTGCCTCCACGGCCCACTTGCACGTTATTTCAGGAGGCAGAGTAAAAGGGAAGGTATGCTCCTGTGCATCTCTTCAGAGCTTCATACTCCTGTCCATTTCATTTCAGATCTTCAGCTTATACAGCCTTTGTGTCCGTCCTTCATCTTCATACTTCCGTTCATTTCATTTCTGATCTTCATATCGTCTATACTCTTAATGATGCTCATTCGTATGCATCTGTTAGTAGTACAAAGGGAGTGGGGGGGAGGGTGGAAGGTAAGGGATAGAAGGCGGAGTTCTCTAGGAGTGTGGGGCAGGGGAGGTAGGGGCAACGGGAAGGAAAGAAATATGTGGAGGGCAGGATAGAGTGACATGCAAGAGCAGGGGAAAGGTGTATGACGGGTCTCACAGATTTCTAAATATTCACCGCTGTGAGTGGCCACCCCTACAGACCGGACAGGACCGGTGTGGGCTATGGAAGCACCGCATCCAATTTTCGCAGTCACAGTTGCTGCATCGAATGGCACGGCGCAGACAGATGTCACAGGCTACGTGGCTCGTACATGCTAGGAACACAGAGGCACGTCGACCGCAATTATAGAGGCATTGCCCTCCCCACCCCTGTCTACAAATTGGACATGACATGCCGTACAGTACTGACTGTCATCGTACGTATGGAAGCAAAAACTAGCATGGACTATACCTTCATAATCCTCACGGCACAAGGCATGTGAACCACATGCTAGTTGAATCTCCGGCGGGTCATCACAAAACGGCATGGAGCATCTTTCTTGGGCTTCCTCAGTATGTATTCCTTCTCTGTGGGCAGACGACGACAGGGAGGATCGGTCCAACGCAAGGGCATTCAGCTGCTGCAGGATATGATCCGCAACAGCCCGCCCTGGTGGTGATAAACTATGAGCACATCGCTCTGTCGGTGGCTCATATAGAAGTTTATTTTCCTCCTCGGACTGCTGTGTTCGCCGTTCGTCTG